AAAGAATTATATATGAATATTTTATATGAGTAGTTAATTTTATTGCGGATATGATGGTATAGGGTTGCCTTTGCGAAAGTGCGCAGATTCTAGGGTTGCCGCGATTTAAAGTATGAATAATTGAGTAAGAGATAAGGCGCGACGGAGAGCACTGCAGTCGATATATTTTTTTGTTATTATATTTATATATTAATACAATAAATGTATTAATTGTATTTAAAAATGATTTTCTTTTATTGATTGAAAAATATATTAGTGTATGTTACTTATATATTGTTAATTTACTATTATACTTATATACCTAGCAGAAGTTCTGCATCCGTTAAATCGCAAAAAAATAAGGAGACATACAAATGCAACAAACTCGTTCTCATATTTATTACTAAAATTATTATTATTGTTATTTTTCTTACTATTAATATTGTTGTTATTGTTTATATATTTTATTTAGTTTGTTATTTATATATACCAGATTTTCGGTTGAAATATTGCATATCTTTTATCGCTTTTTAAATACTATTATTTCATTATTATTAATTTATATTCAGACTTCTCAGCGTAAACGCTGAAAAACATTCACCCATTCAAAATGCAGACAGTGATGGCTTGATATCCCATCCCCGCCTCCAGCAGGAATTAGGGTCAGGCGAGGGGAGGAAATTCATCCTGTCCCAAAACCTTTCTAACAATGTGACACGTTTGTAGTACAACTGCCTTCTGGCCTCTTCTAATAATATTATAAAACTGTCCTAATGCCGCGATGTTCTTGGTGAATCTGGTCGTCATCACTCCCTCTGCCGATTTGCTATTATTATTATTATCATTTTTTTATTATGACTCCATCCATCGCGGACTTTTTTGTAGACCTTTTTAAGGTGTACAATATTGTAGTACATTATTTTGATCTATCTCGTAGGGTTCAGTCAGCGTTTGCAATGTAAGCGCAAAAAAATGTGTTTATTTAGGACATCACATTAGAAACCCCTAAAATTATCAGTGAGTCTCTACTATATTATGCATGTATTAAACATATAAACCTTCCTCTTGAATCACTCTATCTATTAAAAAAAAAAACCGCATCAAAATCCATTGCGTAGTTTTAAGGATCTAAGCATACATAGGTAGTAGATAGATATATAGATAGATAGGGACAGACAGTGGGAAACGACTTTGTTTTATACTAAGTTATGATTAGGAAAAAGGATGAGGGGAGGTCGACTTAGGTCGGGATCTTGTACTATGATGAACACGCACGGCCATCAATCGAGTCCTTGTGTATGAATTCCGTATGCGTATCATCGGGACTAGTCAAGGCTAAACGCGCGTCTTTTATAAGGTAACACAAAGCGTGTTTCATAACAGACGTTTCGTCAGTTTTCAGGCGTTTTAGTTTGCGTTGTTGCAAAGTGTTCACTCTGAGGGAAGGTCGATGCTCTCATAAATCTGAATATAAAACAACGAAAGCGCCATTTAGAGTTAGAGCCCTTTCCGTTCAGATAGAATGTGCCCACTAGATCTAGCACTCCTACGTGTTTTTCTTTGTTCTAGCAATCTAGTAACACATAAAGCGACAACAGCGCGTTGTTCGTCTGTTTGCATATACATATTGAAACTCAACGTATTCAACGACAACATCAAACGACGTCTCGTGAAAGCACGAGTAGTGAATCGATTTCCGAATAGATCCGTTTCATCAGGACTGATCGTCAGTCTCTTTACGCCAGTCAATAGAGCTCGAAAAGGGGTGAGTTTATGACACGATTGATACCTGAAATCCGACTACGGGATACTTTTAAGTTCAGTCCTTGGATGAAAACGTATATGAATTGGACTAGGAAATAGTTGCACTTTTTTTTAATAACAAATTAGTAAAAAAAATGGAGTTTGTTCAGTTTTTTTGCTTATAGAAGAAAAGCTATTGAAACAATCACATCGCATCCAATAGTGTTCGGTGGCGCGCTGACAGCTGAGCGAGGTATAGGTGGCGGGGGAGCGAGAGGAAGCGGTGGCAGCGACCAGCAAATTTCGCGCGGTGTTCAGAGGCGTTTTACACCAATTTAATGGCATTTAAATGAAACAAAGTAAATGGACGAATTGTAGTTTACACTCTGTAGTTTCCGAATCCGTCGAGAAAATGTTATTTAATCTATTGCTCGGCGTGTTATGGAATATTCAAAATACGATGTAAAAAACTTTATTCGATTATTGTGCAAAAACTATTCAACGGACATAATCCAGTTTTTACATACTCATTCTTCGTGATATTACCTACATTTTCCCACAAGATTGACTCTTCTAATTCAAAAATACTCGAATTACGAATTTATTAAGAAAAGGTAATTTTTTGCGTTTTTCCGAGTTTTCTCAGCGAAAAATGTACCGATTGAGTTGATTTTTTTTTCATTTTAAAGGTTTTTGAATTATCTACAACTTTCCTACTGGATGTGATGTGATTTCTTCAATAGCTTTTCTTATATAAGCAAAAAACTGAAAAAACTTTTTTTCACTAATTTGTTATTAAAAAAAAGTGCAAATATTTCCTAGTCCAATTCATATTCGTTTTCATCTAAGGACTGAACTTAAAAGTATTCCGTAGTCGGATTTCAGGTATCAATCGTGTCATGTCAAAAGCTCTATTGACTGGCCTACTTGTGAAATGGCACTTATCTCTTCATACAAATTCAGAGTAGATATAATAGCGCAATACTGTATGTTTACCTGTACAAGAATCCTTGTCAGCTTCTCCACCAGCGCACAACTGCGTGTCCCTCAGTGCGATGTTGGCCGAACGGAATGTGGATCCGCAGCTGGATGGTGCGGCGAGGGGAACCTGTAACTTCTTTTAACTGAACTTCGGCTAGCGCTCTCTGTTTTTCCCCATCCTGCTACCACTAGCTGTTCCCCAACACTGGACGTTTCGTTAGGTAGAGGTAAACAGATCGGACGAATGTAGTCTGGCAATAAAAATAACAAAATTAAGTAATCCATATAGATAGCAGATAATCGCTACTGGCCCCATATAACTACAAAATAACAACAGAGGCCGTAAAAGAGTGTCATTAAGCACTTGCGGATGCAGCGCTCATAAGCAATTTTCTTCTTATTTTGTGAATGGACATGCCCAAAACAGAGGGAGTAAGGAAGCAGATATGTAAGTTGGAATGGAATGCACCCAGCTAGAGAAGTTGGGAGTTCACCATAGACCAGGAAATAAAGCATTTTTGCATGACAGACTTGATATCCGAAAACCGACTACAGGACATTGTTAATTGCGATAAAATAAACAAAACGTATATGAATTGGACAAAACATTTTTGGAAATCTTTTTTTAAACAATGTTTTTATGCAAGATTATTTTTTTCGTTCTTCGCTCGTAGAACCAAAGCTATTGAAGTTAACGCGATACATCGAAAAACCTTTAAAATTAGCTACGAATCGACTCAATCGATGCATTTTTAGCTGAGAAAAGTCGAAAAAAACCGCTGTTTTTTAAAAAAAACTGTTTTTTAAAAAAAATTCATAACGCGCAATTTTGCTTTTGGAAAAAATATTCCGAGAAGATATACTTAATATTACCTAGAATAAGTGCGCGGAAGCTGGATTCTGTGGAATCAATCGTCGATCAAGTTTTTTTATGTTGTTTCTTCATTTGCTCATTCTTGCCCGTACGATGAGTGAAATTAAAAAAAATAAGGAAGATTTGGAAACTACAGAATGTCAGCTTTCATTCGTCCATTCATACTATACCGCTAAAATGACGTTAAACGGGTGAAAATTGCGTTTGAGCGTCGAGGAAAAAGTGCTGGCGCGCGCCGAGAGCAGTCCGGCGGAGCGCTGGTGGGGTCGAACAGCAGCGGTGGGGAAGGCGAGCTCTTTCTCACGCGCTTCATAGGCAAACTTTGATCGACGATTGTGCAAAAACTATTCATCCCACAAAATCCAGCTTTCGCGCACTTATTCTACATAATATTAAGTATATCTTACCAGAATATATTTTTCCAAAGGCAAAATTGCGCGAGTTATGAATTTTTTAAAAAGAAGCTATTTTTCGCGTTCTTTTCGACTTTTCTCAGCTACAAATGCATCGATTGAGTCGATTCACATTCATTTTAAAGGTTTTTTAATTCTCTACAACTGTATCTGATGTATCTCGTTAACTTCAAAGGCTTTAGTTCTACGAGCGAAAAACGGATTAATTTGGCATAAAAACATTGTTTAAAAAAAGATTTCCAAAAATTTTTTGTCCAATTCATATACGTTTTGTTTATTTTATCGTAATTAACAATGTCCTGTAGTCGGTTTTCGGATATCAATTTTATCAGAAACTGGACCTTATTTTAGCTCTGACCCTTATTTCCTGGTCTACGAGCTTTTCGGCCTGAACCCTCCTACCCGGCCACCTATCGCAGCAATGATTCAACAAATTAAAGAATACATCCGTGTGAAATTCAATGAACCGTAGCCATCCATCTATGAACGTGTAACCATAGTGAACTTTGGCCATAAATAAAAAAAAACATTTACAAAAAAATTGCGAATCTCTAGTATACTAAAGTCTTCAAAGTCTTGAAAATTATTATTAAACCATGTTACATACTAAATCCTTACTCCATTTCTTTAATTGATTTTTAGAAGCTGTTTCTTTAGAAGAGAAATTCTAAGAAATTTCTTAAAAAAGTTGCGATTATAAATGTATGTATGTACTGGAAATGAGTTTTTAAGGTATTAGCACCACTGTTCTTTCATCTTCAGCTTTGATGTCGAATACTTAATTTTTGTAAATACATGGCTTTGGAGGAGTCTGAAGCATTAGATTAAAAAAATGAAATAAGATGCATGTACATCTATCTAGTACTATAAAATTAATATACTCGTAATAAAATAGTATAACAAATCACACCACAGCAATTGACATTCTCCCTCTAAGAGTCATTACAACTGTGCAGAGGGAGAATACACATGAAAAAGACACACAATCAAACCCCGTGACAGGTGCCAATTGCCACAGGCGGGATTCGAACCCGCGCGGATAATAGCTCTCGGAGTACCTAATCTCCATCTTCTCACCTGGCGCTTTACCCACTGAGATATCGCCGTGGATCATCGTAATTGTCATCATAATTTTCTAATTTTCCATAAAAAGTTACGCCACGTGTTTCATCTTATGGTGAGTTATTGACTTTGCTGTCATTGTCTTACGCCATTTTACGCTTCCTACCTTTTCTCTTTTTAAAATTTGGATTACATTACAATCGATCTTTATCTCATTAAAAATAAGTAATTGATCTTTTTTACTGAAAACTAATTTCTCCATTTCCTCTAAACTGTAATATTTTTCCCATGAATAATGACTCGAATAAATTAATTCTCTGAAGGTTGGTAACTTCTTTTAATTAACGTCACCAGGTATGTTTATTACATCTAGATTATTTTCCGTATTCCGCGTATTGCAAAACTTACTTGAAAACTTAATCTCCCTGTTCAGCCTAATTAACGCTATGTCATAATATCTGTGTTGAAGACTGCTGTCATACTCCGGATGCACTATGGTTTCCTCAACTCCAAAATCTTGTGGAGGTTCGTTGCACACAGAAAATCCGCCAGATAATTCAACACAATCGACAGATGTGTCTATATTCCATTCGCCAAGTCGGACGGTGGTTCTAGGAAAATCATAATAGAGAGAAAATGCTAGAGCTTCGTTTAAGTTGTTCAATTCAAAAATAAAATATCCGCCACAAACTGAATTCAAATTAATTTAAAAAGTATAGCTAAATTGTCAATAATTACATTAACATCTGTTAATGTGAGTCACTGTAACCGATGGTGAACAACCTTCACTCTTGGCAACCTTCACTCTTTTTACTATGCAAATATCCCAAGTTACAAAAACGGTCGTTTTACAAATTTATTTTCTGACTAAATAAATCTAAATATTCTGTATAAATTGCTTCGCCACGCAGTAACTTGATTTGTTACAAAAATCTTGACAAAGACATGACTTAAACGCTTTACAGTTAGCGTTATTAAACTCTATCTACTTGATAACCTGCAAATTTGACAAGCCAAATTGTATATGATTTTGTCTCTACTCTTGTATATATGATTTTGTCTCACAATACTTGTATATTGTGAATTGAAAAGTTAGGGCCCTACAACAGAACCTTGTGACACATTAAAGTTTCCATATTCTCGTACAATTTTGTTTGAATTTTTAAAGCAGTCTCATGTATTTTAATATAAAGCGTATTAAAATACTTACAAACTTCCAACTTTCCTTGTGATGTCTCCTGTGACACAATGAGCTGCAGTTAAGATGTACCTGGAGTTAATTATACTGCCTCCGCATGAATACCGTTTACGGCTGTTCACAGAATTTTGGTACTCTAACAGGACCATCCAAGGAAATTCGTCAATCGATGTGTCTTCTCCGTTAAGAATTTTGTCGACGAACTAAATGTAAAGAAAGGTAGAAAATGTTTTTTTGTAAGTAACTACTTAAAGCGCGGGTTTCGCCAGCCACGTTGACATCATTAGGGGGTGATTAACGAATTTCAGAAAATAAAAAATTCTCTATAGCTGACATTGACAGGAAAGCCAGTAGGTGAGAGAGAAAATAGATGAAATGACTGAACTAGTTCTAGTCTTCTTGGATATAACCAAAGTCCGTTCACGGTTGCTTAAATTTGTCAACTAGTCATTTTTTATATGCTTGAGGAGGAATGGAATGTCATCAGGAATGTCATCGAAAACCAATGTATATTGTCTTGTAAGTATAAATTGCACATATTAAATAATGAATGTCTAAGGTGAGAATGATTCTTCATTCATCGTCATTCTTCATTAGAAAGTACATATTTGAATTTTGGATCTAATTACATTTAATATGTTCGATATATCTAATGGAGAATGACAATCAACGAGCGTATTAGTTTATATCTGGACCAGGACATTTGGTGGTTGCTAATTTTATCAGACTCATCAGAACACATCTATTTTAATTTAAATACACTAGAGAGAGTGTATTTCTTTTGTATAACACGACTGCATTCAGTGTCTAAAGTTTTTTGAAGTTAAAGTGTTCCCTAGAGCTTTCGTCGGAAATGAAATCCTAAGGTTTTATGAACTTTTTATAGGTGTCATAATTGATATAATCTACTTGACACATTTTTTATATCGATTGTCACTTCTTAAAAAATTTTAACGTAAAAACCTTAAATTTTAGAACAATTTACCGTTAACCCATTTTCCCGTTAGTGCCCTGCTCCGGGAACGACATCTAGTGGTTGCTGACCTTGTCAGACCCACCAGAATACGTTGAGTCCCATATAGGCACAGTAGAGATCAGTCTTCAGTCACCGCTGTATTATTGCTACAAATAAGTTTACTTGTTTAATGAATGTGAAATTAATGTTGGGTCAGTCAATTTTTGTAAATTCTGTTCGAAACGATTAAAAGTTTCTGAGGTCGAATCTGTAATGTCGTCGAAAAAACCTACCTAGTCAACAAGTAACAGCTTGTACATTTTTTTTTATTTTCACCCACCTGACTACCACACGAGGATCGGTCAGGGATGAGACCACTCCGAGTGGTGATGCCACCTCCGTTCGAAGTCCTTCCCTCTACATTATTCCCTCTGGAAGTAAAGGTGTCCTTTGATCCGCAGCACACTAAAGGAGCTGAACTGTGGCCGCACTGAGATTCGCGTAGAAACCTGACTTGTTCTTCACTACGTTCACGTATGCTTCGTATTGTGCTTAAGAGTACCGGGCAGTCGTAAATGGAGATGCACGTCGCCGATTCTTTGTTTGGGGTTCGGCAAGAGTCACCAACTTCTAAAAATAATTTTCAATTTTAGATAGAAATGTTAACATGACTTTATATGATCTCATATAAGATCATATACAGGTTGTCCCGTGTTGATTTAGGGACAGCAAATATTACCAGATAAAAAAATTTATCTGGTAGAAAAATCGGTGTGGAATGGGCCACGCAGATGCATGTGTGCAGAAATGCTTTCTCGTCTAAAGATGTACATATAAAGTCTTATCCTGTATAGTACCTTTCTTCGTATAATTACGTTATTAGATGCAGACGTAGATTGCATCTGGAATCAAGTCATTTTATAAAATTGATTTTTGAAGCTCACAACTCATAACTTATAGCCTAACTGTCAATTTATAGACTCGCTTAGAACTCATAGAACTGATAGCTTCCCTTAATCTCAGCTAATTCTAAAACAGTGTGTGAACCAATAATTCTCCTGGGTGGAGTCTGGAATGATGTAAACATTCACACAACAGCTTTTCACACAATTAATAAGGTAATCAGCTCCGCATGCACCTAATACACACTGCATTTCTCCTTTTTTGCAGCGACACAATGCCGATAACGGTTGTCGTCATTTATTATTCAGTCTACAGACGAGATGTATACAGACTAATTAATTCGAAAAGGCATATTGATAATATACGAGTATACTTAATCCCTAGTGATAGTGAAGTTATAGTGAGCTATGTAAGGCCTTCGTTTCAGCAATTACTATTCATTTACATAAAGTAAATATTGTGACATTTAACAAATTTTTTGAAAATTATTGAGGTCGCAAATTACTACACGTTCATGATGATAATATGGCAGAAGAAAATAAATCTGAATAAACTACGCCAAACAACACGCCCGTTACCATTAGATAAATGAAATGGGAAGATAATGGCTCCAGTATATTATAATGTGGTTAAGTAATTTTATTGAAAATAATTTCAGGGATTCTCATAATCGAAATTGAAAGATTTCACATTAACAACATACAAAATCACTTCTCCAGTTCCATTTTTATTTAAAATGTAAATTTTAATTTCATAAGTAAGTGCAGGAATATGCCTCAATAATTTTATATAACACTGTAGACGAAGATTTGTGTAAAACCCCATTTTTGTAAGTATTAATAAACAAAAATTAGAGTAAACTCTCGTTAGCTCTATAAGTATGGTATAGATAAAATGTTTTTCCATGAACAATTTATGTCATCATTACCAATATACAAAGGTTACTTGAGAGTACCACTGCATTAACATGTGAATATTACTTTTATGATTTTCTTCTGACTTTTAGAATTTTTCATGTATATTATTGGTATTGGAATTGCTATTACCAATTTGTCAACTGACATTTCCTGTACAAGGAAATAATAAGTTCGGAAATTTTGTTCCTCATGTTGCAACATTGAACTTTGTCATTTAATTGGAACTACGAAAAGGGTTTTAAATACATCTTTATGGGTTATTTTAAAAAAGATACGATTGAGAGAGATGAATTTGGAATATTACGATGATGTATTCCATTTATACCACATCCAGTATTGAAATCTTCTACGTTTGTTTTCTTGATCTTCCTATTTTCTAACATTTCATTATTACTAGACTAGTCATATGACATGTTGATGTACGTCGAAGTATATAAATCTACTAAAATATTACTCAATATTGTTCAGAGTTCAAATGTCATGTTAAGAACGTACGATGGGAATATATAAACTGCATAAATAATTATAACGTATCAACTTAATAGCACTATTTAGACTTTAAAAATAAAAGTTTAATAAATACTTATTTATGTACAGTGACCCTTTTTCGACGAATGTGAATTATGGCACATACATACACATACATACTGGGTGGATATCACTTATGGAAAAAAATATTTTTGGCTTTATTTTGGAAAATTGTGAGAAATGCTCGGACACTTAAATTTATAATTTGAATGATATACGTATATTTGAAATTAAAATTTGATTGCACTTGCAGTAATTGATATATGAGTTTTTTAATCTTTACTAATAAATGAATTCGATGAAGAAGTACCATTGAGTGGCCAGCTAGGTAACCAGATCTTACATTTTAGATTTATATAAAATATTTCACCTGAAATTTTAGAGAAAGTTAGGCAGGCGTTTTACTACGTACTGGACGTTTGCCAAGAAGTGAATTGAGAATATTTTCAATGTTTAATACTCTAAAACAGACCACATGAAGCTCTGTAGAAAAATATTTTTGTTTTAGAACTATTCATTTTACCTACTTTGGCGTTTTCATTAAATG